GTTTAGGGCGCCCGAAATTCTAGCCCAAGCACGAAGGCTGTTAAAGGCCATTTGAGTAGTGGTTTTTTGGTGGTTGAACCTAGTAAGATAATATTCCTTATATGAAATACTATACCCCAAAAGGAGGGCATAATCTTACTCTATATTGGGTACCCCAGTATCCCCAAATTAAATACTACTCTCCTGTACCCTGACCTCAAGCCCAACGCCCGAAACCCTAAGTTTGGAGCTGAGTCTAGGGTTTGCTTTAGAGTCACTGAGGTCGTCGGCAGTGGAGATTGCTTCCCATCTGGCTGCAAGTCTCCCCAACGAGGATTGCCGGAGTTTAGGTTCTGCACCCACTTGCGAAGCCCCTTAGGAACTACAGTCAACATTTCAGGTAGAATCAATGGAAAAGAGAATGGTACTGTTTTGGAAAATCAAATGGACAAGAAATGGAAATGGAATGTATACTGGGATCAAATGGGGGATGATAGGGATACATATTTCCCTATTTCCCGTACAATTGATGGATATTGTTCCTAGCAGGAAAAAAACGTCAGGGACTATACTAACCTACCGAAAGAGCCCCTTCGTGCACTCTTCACGGCCCCTTGGTAAGATTATATTGACAGTAGCTGTTATGGGACCCTAAACCCTAAATCCTAAACGCACCGGCACCTGGGCAGAGGTGTGAATCTCCACCAGCGCCTTCGCAGCTTTAGGATGTAAACTTGAAGGTTTACAGCTCTTGAAAAAAAGGTTGGGGGGTTGGGGAGGTTCGGGGTGCGGGGCTTGGCGTCCGAAGTCTGAAGCTTACGGTCTGAGGCGCCAAGGTTTGGGATTTTCAGTTCAGCTGGGCTGAGGAAGAGCCCAGCAGCGGAGGTGTGACAGAACTGCTTTCATTTGCTCTACTAGTAAAATACTAGACTCATACATCATCATACTACTATACAACTATAGTACCGTACTACTATACTACTAAACCTTTTCAAAATGTTCTTTTGTTTTTCTATCTTGCTGTATTGCGACACTGCCGTGTTGCTATATTACCTATATGACCGTATTATTATGTTACTGACTATATCCGCTCTTTATTGTATTGTATGAATAACCAGCCATTTTTTTGCTGCATAAGGGTAATGGTCATGATGCTAACAATGATGACGCTCATGTCATGTGACCCTTTTTCGAGGGATGCGCTGCTGATGGACATCTACCGCGACTTACTTACTAAACCCTAAACCTGAAACCTTGAGCCCTAAAGGCGGAGTGGGGGCAGTGGAGTGGATCCCTGCAATCATCCAGACATATACCCGTCATGATACTTATTATCCCTCCCCCACTCCCCCTTATGCACTAGATAAGTTTCCCCGGAGGCAGATTCCCAGCAAGCATCTCTTCATATGAAGTAGAACTGTAATTATCACTCAGATACAAATCCCTTAAGTCCCTCACGCTTGGCTTCTTCGGGTTATAACAACTATTACAGTGGGGCTATCATATCCCTCATGCAGCTACGGCCGGTGCTATTCTCCAAGACATAACCTGTAGTACTCTGACAGCAACTCTTGCCAACTGTTTTCGTTGCTCTTGACACTGTAACGCTCTTGCTCCCGTCGCTACCGTCATTGCTATCAGGGCTGCCAGTGCTGATGCATCCTCTCTTCTTGTCCTCCTCCTCCACCCTCGCTCATGGCGGTGGTGAGTGTTCTTAGGGGTTGCACTGCCTTGCACTCGATACAATTCTGATTGCTACCTCCTGCTACAACGCTTTTGGCCAGCAGGGGTAAACCTGTAGGTAATGGATCAGCATGCCTTGTGTCGAGAAGTCTATGTGATCATCATGTGTACCAACGGCAAGGAACCCAACCTTCTACCACGCACTACAATCGATGCAGCAATCCTGCATGACCCCGAACTTCTAATAAAAAATTCTAAGAATATGGATACCGGACACCTAAGTCGCAGCAACTTTAGTAATATACAGTACCTAAGCTTTGGGAATTCTGATAGTTTAGCATACTCAGGGGCAAGCAGCATGTTGCACTAAGTACAGAACCCTGTCACAACTCTCAGAATTCCTAGCCCTAAGCCCAAAACCCTAAACCCTCAAGCCCAAATCCCAATTCCTAAATCCTAAACCCAAATTAAGCCCTAAGCCCTAAACCCAAAACCCGAAGCCCTAAACCCAAAACCCTAAGCCCTGAACCCTGAATCCTGAGCCATCCCGACTGCCTTCAGGACGCGTTCCCGGAAGGCTTTCGAAGTGAGCAGAGTCATTGCCGAGAGCTGTGCGTACCTGCAGGTTCAGGGTTTACTACCATTACTTAGGTTTGGGGGGGTCATTTTGGTTTTGAAACTTTAAAATTAAAGAAGTTTGGGAAGTTGTACGCTTACATGGGCTTGAGGGTTTAAGGTTTAGGGTTCACGGTTTGGGCCTTTTGATTTAGGAGTCAGAGCTTCGACATTTGGGTTTGGGATTTAGGGTTTACAGGGTTCAGGGTTGGGTCTCGGACTAAGCTTTGGGGCGTTAAGTAGCTAGTAGAGGCCTAACAGGCAGGAACGGATCACATGATTTTCGAAGCTGGAGGCTTGATGCTTGACGGTAGGCTGCTGAAGGTTGGGGGACTTAGGGTGGATACTAAACATCATGCATGACCTCAAGTACCTGATGCCTGGGGAAGTATGGTGTTATAGTATACTCAGGTCATGCAGGACCTTTTAACATCAGCAGTGGGATTTGGATACGGAGTTTGAACTTGAAGGCCTAGTTATAGGATGACGGTTTTAGGCTTTCCTTGTAAAACAGTGAAGACTGTTTCATCCAGCATGCGAACCTGCGCCTAAACATTGAGGGAGCCTGTTGAAAATCACAGGCTGTTGGCTTGGGATGGAAAATATCACCTGTGGGATAGGTTCGTCGAAGCTTAGGAAAACTGCTTGACAAAAGACATCGAGACAAATGAAGCTTAACGTCTGCGGCAGGGGCTGCAAGACATCTCTTGGGCTGCTTGATGTACTATTTATATCTTGCAAGCCGAAGTCTTTCCATGTTCGTTCGGGAGGCGGATGATGACTGCTGAAATTTGCATTCACGAAATAGCATGTGCTTGCCAGCAAGACTCAGAAGTGATCTTAAGCCAGCATGTCAGTCTGTTGCTGACCCTGATACCCGACCGAGATGGAAGACTGGGGGAAACTCATCGTTTTGATAGGAACCCACAGATATTTTCACCTGTATTAAACCCGTTTTTGGAACCTGCCTCAGATCTTCAGCTGCATACCCCACTATGTTAGAAAAAGCCCCAGGTGGGTACTCCAGCATCTCAGCCATGGCGTCGCTCTTCGTGATGAATTCAGTAATCTGCCAGCAAGACATTTCAATTGAGTAGCGTTTTTTAGTGGCTGAACCAAGATAATTTTCCTATATGAAATACTACACCCCAAAAGGAGGAAAATAATCTTACTCTATATTGGGTACCATAGTATCCCCAAATAGAATACTACTCAATTGGGTTCAGCTCTGGGGGTGGGGGAATAGAAGTGAAGTTTCTTTTTGGTGGTTCTGCTCTACTAGGCTCGCATAGACGGGTGCCTTAACCAGCAAAGGAGGCTTCGACCCTTTGTTTTTTTGCGTAAATATGCTAAAGCCCCTTGTACGGTCTCATTGGTGACAAAGATTGCTGAGTGATCACGCTAGACTCACCTGCCCGCAGAAGATGTGATCAAGTTGCCACGCTGTGAGTTACTCCCTTGCCACTCCCTAGGAAGTGGAGATGGATCGGGATGTCTCTAGGTGAATCTCCTTAAGCTCAAGCCCAACAAGGTAGATGAAGCCTCCAACCCTAAGCCCTATATAACATGGTAGTTTCCATTTTCTTTTCCATTACTACTAAGTCCCCCTGACCTTTCAAGTAGAGCCTAAGGGATGCGCGAAGATTGAGGCACCCTAAACCCTGAACCCTAAACCGTAAACCCTAGACCCTAAAGCCTAAACCCTGAACCCTAAGCCCTAAACCCTAAACCCTACACCCTAAACCCTAGACCCTGAACCCCAAAATCCAGCAGAGTTCAAGGTGGTAAGTTCTCAAGCGGCTACCCAGACAGGTGGCGTACACTTATACGACTTCAATCCCTTTTGGGTTTAGGGTTTAGGGTTTAGGGTTTAAGGTTGAGGGTTTAGGGTTTAGGGTTTAAGGTTGAGGGTTTAAGGTTTAGGGTTTAGGGTTAAGGTTTAGGGTTGAAGGAGGCTACAAGGGGCAAAGCCTAAACCCTAAACAGCACCAACAAGGCAACTCCCACCTGGAACTGTTCTGGACAAAATGCGCATGGGGAGTCAACTAGATGTTATATAGGGATTACATAGGGTATCATCTGGTAGTCTCCATCCATAAGGGGTCGTCATATAGACCCAATACATTGTAATCCTTGCTTTCGTGGCTCCCAGGAATGCGCTGCGCAGGTCTCTAAAGATCTGCGGGCGTCATGTCTCCGTATCCTGACTTCTGTCCTTGCCTATAACAACCCGCTCATATGAGCTACAGAGGTTTTGGGCTGAGGGTACAGCCAATATTTCCTTCATAATGAGCTGACCTGGGTTCCTATCTTAGGATTGTCTTAAGAACTATTCTGAACTACCAATGGTACCCCTATATCCATTGTTCATGGTCCCTTGGTAACCCTGATATCCACACTAATTCATACACCGATTCCCCTTGCCCCTGACCTCTTCTCTCCTCCCCTTCACTACTATCACCTTTTCCGGGAAAAACTTCTCCCCATGAAATCGTACGTCCTGTGTCGGGACCATCCATAATTAGGATCCCTAAGCCCAAAACACTGAACCCTAAACCCGAACCCTACACCAAAAGCCCAAAATTCTGGCCCATACCTTAGAGCCTTGAGCCCTTCACCCCATTAGAGTTAGGGTTTAGGCCTTAGGGTTCAGGGCTAAGGTTTTAGGATTTAAGATTTGGTAGTTTCCCAAGATAAG